TCTTGAAAGCTGCTTTAGTTAGAAGTCATTCCAGTCAGGAAACAAAAGTWATGAAATTATATTTAATGAGGCCCAAACAGCATTTGTGAGCAGTGAATTTTCCAAATAGCCATCTTTGAGCTGTGAATCCAACTTATCAACTTATTGATAAGTTCACATGGAAAATCTGGTGCATCATGAAGAGCAGATGAATTTTTAGCTGGTGTAAGTCAGTACAGACCCACTAACTTCTAGAGAGCATCAGGTTATCCTCGGTACAAGAGYTGGCTTCAAATCTGAGGAAAAAAGAAGGAGAAACCTGAGGGTAGTTTCTGCAATTATTACTAGGGGATATCTCCAGGGTTTTAAGTAGAGAAACCCTTGATAAGACAGCAAACTGAGCCTAAGGAGAACTCCAGTGACTGCCATAAATAAAGACATATCTCAGAGATGGACCAGAAGACTCCCAAGGACTAGCTGAGTTTTCCTGTAAGAATATTCAGCAGATAGCAATTTTCTCTGTCATATCCCAGTTCTCCATGATTGCTCAGCATGGTGCTCTCTGATTTTTTCTATCAGAACCTTGGACAGCAGCAAATTTGCTTGATTAACTCCATGAACCCATTGCTCCAACCCCACAGGTCTGTGGTCTTCTTCGAAAGGATTGTAGAAATTACCTGAGCAAATAAAATAGGCTCACAAAAATGTTTRCAAATAAAATTGGCTCACTGTTTAGAAAAAAAAAATAAACACCATTTTCCAGACCATTTCCCAACATGATTACAAAGCAGTTTTATGGCAGATATGAATGCTCTCATCTGGTCCTGAAAACTAACAGTTCCTGGTTTTGTCTGGTACTGGAAAGAAAAACATGCAGAGATAAATCAGCAGGTCTAATCTGAGGAGCTGTGATTGAATGTTTGGTAAATATTTCATGATGGAAATTAAATAAAATTTGTAAATGCACTTGAAGCCATTATTTTGACGATACATGGACTTACCCCAGCACTTTACCCTGGCTTGTGTGTGAAAACTTTCATTAGCATCACCTTCTGAAATTGTCCTTTTAGATGGCAGCCAAGATTTTACACCCAAACAGACCTCCAGAGCTCTACAATACTGTTTGTTTTTTTAAGTCCAGGCACCAATAGCCTGATGAATGCTATTGGTGAGTTCACAGAGCTCCCACAGGATCTGGTGGGGCAGTAACACACGTCCTCTGTGCTGTGTCCCTGCAGGAAGCCTCGTGTGCCTACGTGCTCATCGTGACCGCCGTGTACTGGGTGTCTGAAGCGGTGCCCCTTGGTGCAGCAGCCTTGGTTCCTGCTTTCCTCTACCCTCTCTTCGGAGTCATGAAGTCCAGTGAGGTCAGACATTGTGAATTTTTATCATTTTATGTCCTCACTCTTTGCTAATTAATTGGATACGGCTGATATTAATGCTGTAGCAAGACTTTTGGGAGGAAGAAGTGCTCATCCTGTAAGGTGTAACTTGGTCCCACCAGATCTTTCTTCCACAGAAGATGGATGTGAGATGCAATATTAACCAGGAGGGATGTCCATCCTTTCAGCCAGGGCATCACCAATCATTTCCAAAACCCATTGCACAAAAAAATCCCACCTTTCCCCTCTCAAACCCATGTAAACAGCAGCTATAGGATGCACTGTAAACTTTCCTTCCAATTATATTTATTATGGATTTCACACAAAGCAGGAGGATGCATATATTAAAATCAGTTACCATTTACTGTAGAAAAGACTAGATAATTTTGTTATCCAGGTGAATCTCGAGTCCTTTTTCAAAGCTTTAACTTGCTACAGCAGTGTAGCCATGAGTTCTCAGACAACGGAGTAGCTGTACAAAAAGGTCTGTATGATCAGTCCTGAATTTGGCTTTCTTGAGGCTTTTTTGAATGCTAATTTCTTTCATGACATGCCAAGGATTTATTTTATCTCATCTACAAGTTTTGTCTATCTGTCCCTGCTTTTTTCTRTCTCTTTTTTGGGGGGATGAGGGGACAGCACATTTGATTTAAGGACTAGTAATACAGGTAAAAATGCAGAGGAATATGTAGCAAATATAAAATTGTTGGTTTCTCTCACAGTCTAGCACTGGGAATAGCCATAAATGGATATAGACAAGCATGAGTCAAGAGTTTTATGACCTCTTATTCTCCTGAGCTTTGTGATATAATGAGGTACATTTTCATACGAACGCAATTCAGTATTTTCACAATCTTTTTTTGCTAACATAAAGGTAAAGTAGTTGGGCATTTTCATTAAAAATTTGGCAGCACACTGGAGAGGGAAAATTTAATGGCAGCCTGAGAGAAATTCAATGTAACACCAAATAAAGTGACAGTAAAGCTACTGAGGAGAATGTATTATTTGCTTTAGGAACAGAAATAAATCCCTGCATTCAAAAATAAACAGCTCTGATGATGCTGCACTATTTCCAGTCTGGAGTGGCTCTTGCCCAGAAAATTACTACTWTTTAAGCTCCAAATAACTCAGAGGGGCTTAGGAACATGAGTCACTGTGTCATATATATKTATGTTGGTGTTAATAAGACTATTAACATTCACTTCTTTCTTCAAAATGGCTGTGAAAGAAATAAGGGAAAAAACAAAACAGATTCTTCAATCTCCTGGCTTGGCGTGGATTTCCTTCATTCACCTCATGATAATATTTTTGAAAGGTAGCAGGAAAAAAAAAGGATGTTAATGAGGAAGAAACTAGCAGAAGAAAGCCAAAAAGGTGATATTTAAAAGTTCTGACACAAAACTGTGATGGCCAAGTCTGTTTGGGTCACCATAGGGATTTATTAAATAAATGCCATTAAATGTCATTCAATACATAACTTGTTGCAGATTTCACAAGATAATATTTGTGTCATTCTTGCCCTTTATGGAGGACCATCAGTGTAACTGAGGACAATGGAAAAATTATTGCTTCCTCTGCTCTTAGTTGTTTCAAAATTTTGGCACCTACATTTGGTTAGAGGAATAGTTTTAAACTGAAGAAACTATGTTTTTTTTAAAAATATTCCATCAACAGCTCAGGAAAGATTGAATCAGAATGAAATGAAAAATTTTGCTACATTCCAAGCATCTGTCTGTAACTTTAATTTTCTCCCATTTTTTTTTCCTTTTACAGAACTATGTGTGTGCATTTGTACATCAATTTTATGGTTTGCTTAATTTGTCATTTTTCAGTGGCTTTACAGAACATATTTTCATATTTTATCAAGCCCCACATCCAAGAATCCTGCTTTGGGAGTAGTCTCTGAATATTTTCCTGAGCCAGTGATGATTTTTGCACATCATCTTTAAATTAGAGTTCTTCTTGAAACTTTTCCCCATTTTCCTGATGAAATGGAAATGGATTTCCAACGTGAAAAGTTTTGGCACAGGATTTGTGGATCACTGCAGCAATATAGCAACCTATTTTTTAAATTGCATTCAAGAGCAAGTCCCAAAGGACTTTTTTTCTGAAGCTGTAGATTCTGGRGATGCCACATTTTACCCAAAAGCTGAACAAGCCAGAATAAATATAAGCAAGATAGACAACAATATCTCCAGAATGAACAAGCAGATGAAGCACATGAATAAGTTGTCTCCAGTGCAGCTCTGTCTGTGCTTGTTTCCATCTGAGCCTCGTTGAGTCTGACTGATTTACTKCAGGCACTGAACATCCTGCTCCAAAAAAACATTTCTCTTGATCTCTTCAAAACTGAGGAGCCTATAAACAATAGGGTACAGAGCCTTATTTGTAAACACAACATGGAAGAGATTAAAGAGAATGTTTTCACTTAYGAATTCTTCATTTTCTCCCCAGCTCCCTGTCATTCTTACTTCAGGGAGAAAAAAATGTGATATACCATATTCCTTCTCATTCAGCATGCTTTCCGAGTAGGGCAGTTACTGCTTTTTCAACTGATTGCTTCCCCCTGGCCCTTAATGCAGGTGGCTGCTGAATATTTCAAGAACACCACGTTGCTCCTCATGGGTGTGATCTGTGTGGCAGCTTCTGTGGARAAGTGGAATCTCCACAAGCGGATCGCCCTGCGCATGGTGATGATGGCCGGAGCCAAGCCAGGCATGTGAGTGAACCTCTGAATTCGGGGCAGTCTGGGGCTGACAGGGGTGCCTTAAACAAGGCTCACCTGAAACAGGGGCCAGACAAGGTGAAGAGAATGAAAGCAGACAAATTTAATCCTGGCCTACTGGTACATTATAGGCAGACAACGTTTCCTCCTGAGGCTACACCCAAAATGGATCCAAATCATGAGATCTTCCCCTTTTATAAGTTCTGTCCCATGCACATATTGGGCCTCAATTCTCCAATGATCTTCAGGTGATGATGGCAACCACCCCAAGCTTGCTCCCTCAGTTCACTGTTGTTTGCATATTTTGGGGCTCTGAGGCAGGGAAGTGTCCTTGGACTTCAGGCTCAGAGAGAGATTGTTTTGTCTAAAGAAGGGAGAGCAGCAGCTTTAGTGCTATACAAAAGAAGTACAAGAATACAGAAACATGAAAATATAGAAGCTAAAAAAACCTACAGCACCAACAGCAGCATCTTGAAACCACCCTGATATTCCCACCCATGGCCCAAACCCACCTTAGGTTGGAGCGTTTTCCATGCCCATCTTTCCTCTGAGAATCTGAACCCTTACAAATGCTCTCCTCCTTTCTCTGCCACCTCCAACCCCTCATGTTTCCCCGTGCTGCTCTCCAGGCTTCTGCTCTGCTTCATGTGCTGCACCACGGTGCTCTCCATGTGGCTTTCCAACACGTCCACCACAGCCATGGTGATGCCAATCGTGGAGGCYGTGCTGCAGGAGCTGGTGAACTCTGAGGAGGAGTGCGAGGCCATGGCCACCACGGGCAGTGCCATCGCTGAGGAAAACAAACCAATAGGTATTTATCAGCATTGGACCTTTTTTTTTTTCTCATTTATCAGTGACCAGATTTGTTGATACATATTGTTCAAATTCCATCGGGGTCAGGTCTGATTTATACTGCCTAAACCACTGCTTTGCAGTCTTTCTTTTTGTACTCTGATTTTTACTCTGATATTCCTTTCAAGAAATGAAAGAAAGTTTCAGGAAGTAAAGGAAGAATAGCAGTTGGGAAACTCTACTGAAGCAGGGCAGCTGTTACAGCTGTGAGTTGTGAACTCTTGGGATTTTACAGGGTTGGAAGGAAACCCCTGGGAATAAAGTCCAGGAAATTTGGAAGAGGCCCAAAATTGTGCTCCTGACAACCCCAAAATAAAAAAAAATCTGTAAGAGGTCTAGGGCTCATTCTGTTCATTCCTTCCCAGAAGGAAAAGGTTTAGGAAGAAAATAATCTCTCTTTTCTTTCACTGCGCAGTTTTCAGGCTGGAAATTGCTTCACCCAACCTCATCTTTTAATTGCCAAATTCACATGATCAGTGAATTCACGTGCCAAATTCACAGCGCCAAATAACAAAATGCTGCATGAAGAGAACACCTGAGACTGTTTGGATGGGCTTTTTCTGCAGGGGCAGCGCTGTGAGCTCAGCTCAGCTCTCACCCCAAGGGCTGCTCTCTCTTGCTCTGTTTCAGGTCTCGGGGAAAGGAACGGGCAGCCTTCGCTGGAGCTCATCTTCATCAATGAGGAGTAAGAATGAACCCTGTTCATCAGGACTGCACATTTGAGCCCTGCACAGGTTGCATGAGATGAACCCAGGAGTAGAGTCAGGAACGGCGAGCAGACTGTCACAAGTGAACATTTCACACATGACTGATGAGAAAGGATTAATGTAACGGTCCAGATCTCACTAACATATTGCAGCATTCATTTATTTAAGGCTGTGCAAATTTTAGGGAGAAGGGGAATATTTAGAGGTGTTTGAAAGCTCTTTTGAAGTCTGTGTTTGTGCTATGTAAGAAAGTGCTGTGCACAGACTTTTTGTTCCTGTTCCCCTGAAGGAACAGTGATGGAGAGGAGCTGAGTACACCATGGACTGCCCACAGGACATATCCTGAGGGAAATAAATCACTGACAGAGCATTCCTGAAGAAAATCTGAGCTGCCTGCATTTAAGAGAGAGAGTGGAGGGTGGGGGGACACGGTGGGAGGGAGAACCAACCAAAAAAACACCCCTTTTGCCTCACAAAATGTGTAAAAGCTTTCATTAAATAGGCAAATTTCTTCAGAGGTTTGAAACACTGACAGTTTCAACTGTTCTCTGTTTGGGATAGAATCTACTAAGGGGAAAGGGTAAATCAAGTAAGGCACTCATTTCTTTGTCAAATTATCTAATTAACCATCAGTTCAATATATACAAGACAATGTACAAAGCTAATGTCCTAAAAATTTGTTACAGGCCAATTCTGAGGAGCATCTTATGATGTGTGAGAACAAATTGCACAGTCCCTTTGTGAGCTCCTTCTGTGTTGTTCACAACTGTTCAAAACAAAAGAGAAACAAGTTTCTTTTACTTTAAATATTGATATACTTTAAAACAACCATTATAATTCATAATTGAATTATACACAGGTTGGTGGCTTTAAGTTAACTTATCTCATTAGTCTAGAGACTAATGGGTTCTCCAGTATTCCCTCTATCATCTCTTTTTATCCCAGCCAAATTTTCTGGGCCATATAGAATCAAATCTTCAGTTTGGCACTGTGTATTAATCCCTTTAAGCCCTGTTGAAGAGCATGTATGGAGTATTTCATACAGAACTGTTGTTAAAATAAGATTACTTGAAAAAGAGCTTGGATTTGGGCAGGAAAARCAGCACATCATCTAGAAATGAGCTCAGTGGGTTGTTTGCATGATCCACATGCCCCACAGGACAGGTTTTWGGGAAGGCTTCAATGTGACACAGGTAAGGATTCAAAACAGCACTGGAAAAGTTGGCAGAGGAAGAGCTTGACTAGAACAGGCAGCAGAGGTGCTGGATAACCTGGTGGTCCTCTCCTAAAATGGGGTAAATACTACCAAAAACAAACCTTTTCTTGCCTGGAGGTGGAACCCCACTGCTGCACAGCAAGAGATAGAGCTGTAGAAAATAATGATAACTCTTACATGCCTGGCCAAGAGCCCACAGAAGAAGTTCTAATAAATGGTATTCAGCATTCCAGTAGGTACTAGGTCTCATGCAAATGTTGCCCCTCCTACTCATAAAATGTGCCTTTTGCAGGAGCTGGGTGAACAGGCATTTTTAAATTATGTTTTCTTTTCTCTTTTCTTAGTGCCACTACTGCTGACTTCAGCTCCTTGATGCACTCAAAGGTATTGTCAGAAGTGGTATCTTTCTGAGCTACACTGGCTTCTAATGCAGGAAACATCACAGCAAAATGCACACAGATCTGAAAAAAAACGCTGCTGTTTCCTTTATTTCAAAAGTGTGGTGGTTGTTGGCAGAAAGCATTGCAGGATGTCCTGCTTTGTGTTTCACCTGCCCGCCTGCTTGCACCAATCGACTGCAGAGCATCAGCTCCACAGCAGCAACGAATGAGTACAAAAATACAAAAGTACAAGTTTGCTGCACTTCTTGCTGGAGATCCTGAGGTCCAGCCAGCAAACTGACAGTTCCATATGGCTTCTAGCAAATTCAGATATGATCTGGCTATTGTCAGCTTCTGCAGCTGAGGCATCTCTGTTGCTACAGCAGCCTGCACTCATCACAAAGTCACGGGCTCAAGGGACCTGTTAGATTCTCCTACATGAGTTTGAAATTAAAATGTGTTAATTTTTTTCATTATACAATAAAATAATCACTCTATCATATATTTTATATATTTATTATTTCATTATTAATAATAATTATAAAATATATCACTATTTATATAAATATTAATTATTATAGTAATTGTTATTATATAAATGGATATAATATACATAATTTTATAATATAGATATTGTATTAATATATATAAGGATATTTATATATATAGTATCTATTTTTTTCTAATATGAATTATTAGTTTATATGTGTATATATAATATACACATATATTAATATATTGATATATTGATATATTAATACGTTAATATGTTAATATATTAATATATTAATATATTAATATTTATATTTGAATTATATATGACTATATATAATCAATCTAAATTAAATAAGTTTGACATTAAAAAGTGGGGAGTTTAAACCTCTTTTTTTCCCCCAGTTTAAAATTAGCAGCTGATTTTTAGTGGATCAGATTTTCTCATCGTTTTGGGATTTTTTTTCTTTTTCCTTTTTTTATCCCCAACGCCTGCTACTCAGTACCTGTACAAAACATCACAAACTTTATTCTAAGCACCCCCAGGAATATAACAAAAGCTAATTCAAAGGCATTTCTCTCCTGACAGAGCATGAACGGGGTGCACATGATAGCCAACTCTCTTGGAACAGTGAATTCCACAAGCAATGGACAGCATCTGCCTCAGGTAAGGAAATGCTGGATTTGGGGGGTGGAGGCAAAAGACAGATGTGAAYATCACCAGCTCCCCACTATTTCACATTTGCTCCTTGAAGGGAATCATTCTCCATCATCTCACCACAGCCAAGGCTTGCCCTTTTGCTGTTTCTTGCTGTTTTTCACTGTTTCTTGCTGTTTCTTTCCCCATTTAAAAGGACCCAGAACAGGAATGTTCAGAAGACCCTTCCCCAATGGCTGGGACGGTTCATTTAGCTTTATATCTAATAATGTGATCATGAGTTTCCCTTATTATTTGACTGGAATGGCCACTTTGTTTCGGAAAATCCTCCTTGGAAAACAGCCCGACTCAAAAATAGCAACCCCTAACACATAAAACCCTACTCAGAACCAAAAAAAAAGCAGCAGGACTGAACCATTAATCTGTTCAGCAACTTTGTTAGGTAGCCTTAGTATCCACTGCCTTTCTGTCATCCAAAATATCCGGCCTCAAAATCTTCCATTAAATCAATTCATTCCAGTATTTCTACTTCTTTTGAGAGGATCCAGGAGGAGATTGCTGCTTGGATGACAATTTTGTTGTGTCCTAAAGGTGCAAGTTCATGTCAGCAAAAGAACAGGCTAAAAACAAATTTGCCTTCACAGTTCAAAAAGAAATCAAAATACAAATTAGTAAATATAACAAGCCTATCTGAAGCACTTGCTGCCTTTTTCCTCATTCCTAAATTACAGCCTTGGACCTTGAAGTACTGCACCTTTTTTCCCAACACAACAATTTGATTTACCAACGTAGAGAGTTTCCCGTCACTGACAAGAAAGCTTCTTTCAGAGCACAATTTTCTGGCATCTTTTCCCTCCATGTTCCCATTGCTCAGCCTTTCCCATGGCATTTCAAGATCCCTCCATCCCAAATCAGAGGTCCTGAGCCACTTTAAGTGCAAAAAGTTCACGGAGCCTTTGTGTGGTGGCGGCTCCTAAACCTCAAGGATGATGGATTCCTTCTGCTGGCATCCCAAAGGCTTTTGGTATCCCACTGCTACTCCAGTCAGATCCAGAGTTGGCCCAAACCTTAGCCAGAAGCCTGATTACTGCTTGTCCTACATTTCTGTCACGGACCAGGCAATTTCAGACCCCTGGACAAGTTTCCAGGACTGATCCCAGTTAATCCTTGTGAAGAAAATCTGCCCTCTCTTACACAAACCTGTTGCTTCTCCAACATTAGAGCATGCTGGCCTTCTTTCTGACCACCTGCCTTACCTGTGAACGTGTCCCCTCRCAGGCTCAGATCCTGGTCCTGCCTCCTGAGCCCCCGGATCTGGACCTGAGCACCAAGTACCGCTACCAGACCAGGCATGACCACATGGTCTGCAAATGCCTCTCCCTCAGCATCTCCTACGCTGCGACCATCGGGGGGCTCACAACCATCATAGGCACCTCCACCAGCCTCATCTTCCTGGAGCACTTCAACAAGTAAGTGACACTGGCATTTGGTGACAACAGTGGGTGAGTCATTGTCACCTCTGTGTTCCCCAAGGAACCCTCGCAAGACATTCTCTCCCAAGGAAAATTTGCTGCTTCCTCTAATAATGGTTAATGTTTGAAATTTAATACATATCCATGTCTTTGTCTCATGCAAAGCAAAAATTCCTCAGCGTGTGGTAGCATTTRAGTTTCTCCAGCATCTTCTTTTGAATTGATATTCTTATTATCATGAAGGCAGCAGGCACTGTGGAAAAGCAAGCACTAAAGCCATGAAGATATAGCCAAGAAGACAAAAAAACACTCACAAAAGAAGAAATGTCATAAAATCAGCTGTTCAATCTGCAGTGTAAAAAAAAACCCAACTTACAAATGTGGCCTTACACATTTGCTTCAGAGAACATGGGAAGCAGCTCTCTGACCAGCTAAGTGTTTCCTTTATCATATGTCCAGGGCTCTCAAAGACATGAATRTTTCAAGGTCAGAAAAAGGAAGGTTTCAAGGTCAGAAATATGACTGTTTCAATGTCAGAAACATGAGTATTTTAATTTCAGAAACATGAATATTTCAATTTCAGAAACATGAATGTTTTCTGTCAGAAGACTGATGGTCTTCTCATTAACAGACACATCCAAGCTCAGCCCTGATTCTGACCACCCCCACTACTGCCCTGATACCCCTCATTTCTTTCTCTTAAATGATGGTAGCAAAGGAGACTAAGTTCAGAAATCATACCAATCCAAGGATTTGGATTTTATAGAATTTTCCAAGGTCTTGTTTTGTGGCAGTTTCATCAGAGGTACACATGAAGCATCTTTATCAGAGCACAGCAGAATGGAGCCATCATTTGTGTGGCCCATGATAAGGCACACAAAGAGATTCTGGGTGAAATCATTCTGAAATCTGACAACATTCAAAAAAGCTTCAGTAGAAACCACAGGTAGGGATGGAATTTCAGCCCTGSTAATTCTCAGTGCTTTTGAAGATGGCCAGACAATCCAGACCACCTGGAGTTAAAGGTTTGCAGAGTTATATTGTTCATCTGTTGGTCAGGCCAGGTCAAGGACTGACATATTTTGGCAGTTGTTTTCACTCTACAAATGCAAACTGATGGAATTTTTCTCTCATGCCATGACAGATGCAGATGGATAAAGGTTTGTGTGCAACTATGGCTATTGGAGGTCCCTGTCCCTTTACTGTTCTAATTTCTCATCCTCTTTTTTTCAATTTGCAGCCAATACCCAAAAGCTGAYGTGGTGAATTTTGGAACCTGGTTTCTCTTCAGTTTCCCCATCTCCCTCATCATGTTGGTGCTGACTTGGTTCTGGCTGCACTGGCTCTTCTTGGGCTGCAAGTGAGTGAAGATTGTTCAAGATACACAGATTATTATTAAGCAGGGTGTCTGTGGCTCCTCTCAAACATGTCTCATAAAGAAGTTTTGACTAGTAAATGGCAGAATTTAATTTTCTTCTTCTGACCAGAACAATTACCAGAGGAAATCTCTCTGCTTAGCTGCCCAGCACAGACAGCAGTGTAGAGTGCTGCTGCTTGAGGGTGAAAAGCCCAGGTATTGCTGACAGAAATCCTTACTAAATATTCAAATGGTTTGAGTTTTTTCACTCTTATGACAATGAGGATTCCCTAGTGGACTTAAAATCTTGGTATATGTTCTTTCGGAAAAGAGCAGTTTAAAAGATGAATAGAAAAATAACTGCAAGTGAACAARTTACTTTTCAGATCTGCCTCCAGCTCAGTGAAATTAACATAAGACCAGTTAAAATGAAAGGTAAATAGACTCCATATATATTTTTCTTTAAAGGGGTAAGAATTCACAGCATAAGAGATAGATCCATTTAATACCAAAAAGTCCCTAAGCCCCCAAATAAGAAAAAGTCTCAGTTTTCCAGTTCATTTGTACCACATATTGTCTTTACAAAGTTAATGAAAATTGCCTAAGTGCATGCATTTAGAGTGGACTAGTTAATCAGCATTAAATTGTGATGCAGACACATTTACTCAGAATTAAATTGGCCTTAATTTGATTTAGTTTACTCTTAAAAGTAAACAGAACTGACATCACTAYTTCATCTAAGACAATGAATAAATTGATAATGAGTTCTGCTTGCTGCTGACCTTGACTAGATTTGAAGAAGTAATTTAGAGGTGAATGGCTAAATGCCTGTTTCAGTCAGTCTCTGAGTCCTGTGGTTCCAAGTTAAAAGGCTAATATAAATTCCCTCCACCACTTTCTTTTTTTAATCTTGAGAAGAAACAGGTCCTAACATGACCCTCAATTAATTTAGTTTAAAAAATAAACAAAATTGGAATTCCACATTGCATCCAAGACTCCATGCTGATTAATGTTGTTCTAAATAATACCAGAGACTGAAGCATTATCGACTTTTTGAGAAGTACTGGTTGATTCCAAACCTCCTTAATCTCTGAATTCTATTCACTGCAGTTCATTAAAGAACGCTTTATGTTGGGAGCTGGGCTTCAATACTCTGCCTTCACATCCTCCTGAGCCTGGAAACACTTAGGACATGTTGAAACAGCTGCCTAATGCTTGTGCATAAATGTTTAATGAATTCCTGTAATGTTATTTTCCTAGGAAGCCCCATGTCATCAATCTGTGCTTACTCGGCTTAGCTGGAAAATAATTCCAGGCTTTAAGGCCCTAGAACAGGTCAAAGGTGAAAGGGAATGGACCCATCAGGGGATCTTTGCCAGCAAAAAAAGAGCTGAGGAGAGAATTGTTAACCAGACCTGGCCTTTATAAGCCACACAGCTCTTCTCTTCCAGCCCCTTCTCTTCCTACTGGTGGATTCTGCTGAAGTCTGACAGCAAGGTTTGCAAGGAAATTTAAAATATCTACGGATGGTGGGCAGTGCTAAGTGAGCTGGAAAAATGAGTCACGTGTTTGCCCACATGAAATGGAAAGCCTGGTTAAATCCTTCTGCTGACCACACAGGGCCTGGATCTTGAGCAATGCAAATTCTCTGAAGAGTCTGACCTTGAGCAAATACACTGTGGAGGTTGCAGCCCATGGTTTGGCCAGTGCTGCAGCTTGGGTGGCTAGTGAGGTACCAGAGAAATATTGAAACAGCAGCAACCATAAAAGCACCTATTATCACCCAAAAGAATGATAAAAGTTGTGCTACTRTACTTCCATTACTGATGTTGCCTTTTTTAGATCCCCTTACACCTCTGTGTAACAGAGGGTACAGTTGGAGTGAAAAGTAAGGGAGCTGTGGCTCAAAACACAGCAAGGCAACACTCCTGCAAAGCAGAAAATAGAGGRTTAAAGTGAGCTTGAAAGCATCTTAATTTCAATTAGGAATGTCCATGCTTTCTTATAGGATGAGGGCAAACTGAATAAACGAAGGACTTCACTGAACATCCATACAAATATGTAGCAGGATCAATATATTCAGCCAGGAAATATGCTCGTGTTTTCACGTCCCTGACAGAAGTACAGGCTTTTATTCCCTAGACAAAGCACCAGGCTGATTCCCCATATCCCCAGAAAGGCAATATGGTGCTTTTCTGGCTATGCCTGTTTCAGAAATAGCCATTATTTTAACAGTATAAGCAGAAGCAAGCAGGTCGAGGCAGATAAGGGGATCCGAAGCACAGCTTTCCCTCATTATTTACAGCAAATCCTGAATATTCATGTCAAATATGGCCTCAAAAACCAGAGCAGGCCCCAAATATGTTGGATAGCCCTGATCCAACTGGAAAGCATAGTTAGCCCATTAAAAATTTCTATTAATATCTGACCTSTGCCYCAATCTTTCCATKTGATGACAGGAACGAGCYGAAGCTTTGGAAGGTTTTTGGCAGYTYYTTGAGGRAGCCTACGCAGAGGGAGCCCAGCCATGGCTCAAGATGRCTCAGTGATACCAATCAGCACTAGTCAGAGCACCCTGGGGACCTTGAGCTATGCCTAGAACTGAGTTCTAAAAGAGCTTGAAACCAGATCACTCAAAGATCACGTGCAGTAATTTCCTTTCCCATTGCCATTGGGCCTCGCCCCAGTYGTGTCTTCTCCCAACTGTCCCTGACACCAGAATTTTCATTCCACCTCACTACTGTTTGTTTTTTTTTTTGTCTTTTATAATTATTCCCACCCCCCCCTTTATCTGTTGTCTAATTTTATTGTTCTSTCTCAGTTTTAAAGAGACCTGTTCTGTGAGCAAGAAGAAGAAGACCAAACGGGAAGAAATGTCAGAGAGAAGAATTCAAGAGGAGTACAAGAAACTGGGAAATGTGAGGTAAACCATGCCTGCCTTCCTTGGGAATTTACAGAACCACCCTCTCCTATTGCCCCTATGCTGCCTTTGGCTCATGTATCTCTTTCTAAAACTGTCAGCTCTTTTTCCTCCCTTCCAGGATAAGAATAGAACTAAATGCAAAAATGAATGAAAATCAAAGAGTTTGCTACAAACATGCATGCAACATGTAACTCATTTATTTCCTGGTGAGGAAAAGGTAAATAAAGGAAAGATTCAAGTTTATTCCAGAGTTCAAAGGTCATCTGAGTCAAGGTTTGTCTTTGAACCCTAAAGGACTCCTTTTCCTAATTCAGACACAGACATATTTTAGTGGATATAAGTCCAACAAAGGCTTTTTCCTACACTATGAGTTGTCCAGCCCTCCCAGTTGCACACAATCTTTAAAGCACAGTGGCAAGAAATGACTCTTGAAAGACTATTTGGCAAGATTTTCATTTTCAAAAGGGCTGATATGCCACAGATTTCCTTCTTCACCAAATATTTTTGTTGCTGTTCACCCAAAATTTTGACAGAACAACTGCCTGAATATGATAAACTCTGAAACTAGACTGTTGTTCGTGCTGTTTCTAAATAATTTTTAATAATAATAATTTTTAATCAAAATCTATGCTAAATTAAAAATCCTCAAATCCCCTCAAGTGTCCTCAAATCACCTTTGTGTGCACCATCTGTGCTAATTTACATTGTCATTTGCTCTTAGGCTTTCTACACCCTTCAAAAAAAATTGCAAGAGAATGTGTTTACAGTGGAATGCTAATATGAGCTTCACCTTGTTCACATATTTAATCAGATAATAATGCAAATACAAAACAGGCATTTAGAAATATTTTCCTTCAGGTCTTGCCCACGAATAATTGAATTGCAAATACAGATGGATATTTTTAGCCTGTTTTTTTACTGGGTTTTACTTGGTTCCCAGCTGGGAGGCCAATCTAGAATTCTTTAATTCAAGCTAATCTTCTTTGCTATTTTCCATATAGTTTTAATCTTTTTTTTTTTTTTTTTTTTTTAAGCCAATTTCTACTTTCTCACTTCTGGAACTTGCTCTTGAGTGTTCAGCCCCAAACACAATTTTTCTTTTATTTCTAGCTATCCTGAGATGGTGACTGGATTCTTCTTCATCCTGATGACCTTGCTTTGGTTCACTCGTGAGCCTGGCTTTGTACCAGGATGGTCATCTTTTTTTGAGAAGTGAGTGAAATTCCCTAAACAACTCCACAGGAACACAACTTTCCTTCTTATCAATTTCTACAATATTTTTTTTCCTAACCCATCATCAGCCACCTTTAACAAGGTGGTGAAAAAWTGAGTTTTTATTCAAAAAAAGCATGTGTCTGTTCATGTGACAAATTTTATTTCTTGATATACAGAGTGAAYTAAGTAAACAAAGTAAATTAAACCATTTCAAGTGTAAAAGGACAGGAGGGTCAGATTTTGAGCTTGAAACATTTTAATGCATTCATAGAGAAGTCACTGGAATAAAGCACAATTATAATTAAAATTAAAATTTTTGAAAAAGTTTTGTCCAGAAAATGTCCATTCATTTAAATATACAGAATGGCGACTGAAGTAAATAATTTTTCTTTTATTTGAAATAATATGGAAACAAATTACATTGAAACTTACTATAAAACACATTGCATATCAAAGAATAACTAATTTGAACTTAAATTTTGTTCACATTTCTACTATATAAAATTAATTTTTCCTCTCAATTTTGACAGGAAAACAATTTCTAATACTGGAGTTTTCTGATGATCACTGGAGTTTGGCACTCCTCAAGATACTTTTTCAGAAAGCATTTTAAACTTTAATTTAAAATCAATCTACAGTCTATTTCTAAAGAATCACTTGTGTTTGGCTTTTCCCCAGAATGKGTTTACTGTTTCTTACTTATAATAAACACACATTTTTTTTCCTTTTCTCTAAGTGAATAGATTTGTAAACCAAAAGGGATTTTTTTTTCCAGACAGAATGTTAAAAATTGTTGAGCAATGATTGAAGTTAGCTTCAAGAGTCAGTTTAATAAACGGAAAAAAAATCTGATTTGAATCCAAGATATGTAGGAATATTTTTCTAGCGGCTTGTTAATATGACTTCAGAGGTGGAAATATCACTGCACCTGCAGAAATGTGTTTGGAGCTATGAACCTGGTTTGGAAATGTTCCTGTTAATGGGTTTTTCTCATAATCTCATTGTTTTTTCCTAGGAAAGGTTATCGCACTGATGCCACCGTCTCTGTATTTCTTGGTTTCCTCCTTTTCCTGATTCCAGCAAAAAAACCATGCTTTGGAAAAAGGAAAACAGGTGAGGAGGATGCAGCAAGAAAGAGAGCTGGTACATTTTCCAGTGTCTAATGGTTTGGGGTTTTTTTCTTGTCTGTACAAGTTCCATGATGAGACTTTTATGTCTGTAAATCAAGGTTCAGTTTCTCCTCTGTTACCAGCCCTTCCTACATCAGATCTCCCTTTCCTTTGCCATAATTCATATTGTCCCTTTCAGAGGATAACAAACAGGTTTTGAATCTGAGACTGCCACCTCTTCTGTGCCAGCAGAATTATTAAAATTTAGGGCTGAAATTACAAAAGGTTCAGATGGAGTTCCATATTAAAAAGCAAAATTGTTAAATCAGCTGAAGATTTTACTTTAGTAAAAAAAAAAGGTTGTTACTTATACAGTGTAAATCACTGATAATGTCAAAAGATAAACATAAAAGAGGTCAGAAAGTGCCAGACAATGTTCCAATTTTGTGCAATGCTTCTCTCACAGCCTTCTTCATAATAATAAGATTGTTATTCCACGTTTGTGTTTGGGTAGCACTCAGTTGTTTTGTCAGCTTGCTGTGCCAGGCTTTCAGCAATGTTGTATAAAAGTAGAATTGTCTGCATAGAATTTTTATGTAGCGATTATGAATATATAAAAACTAAAAAAAAAAAAAAAATACTGTCATATATTGCACAGGTTTAAGGAGAATATGACACTAACTCTTCCTTCAAGAAAATACTCAGGCAGCTAAAAAATAATGTCCTCAGATAAAATTTAGGGGTCTAAATGCATTTTTTGCAGCCTTCATGGCTTACATCATAGCTGTTCTTTGATAATAAAATAAACCATTATTTTATTATCTTTGATAATAAAATAAACCATCCAAAGATGGTTTTAACACCATCTTTGTGGTCTACAGATATATGCATACACATATCACAGCACACAGTCCCTCAAAAAGCTGTGACACGAAAACATAGGGCTTTACAACCATTTACATCAACACAGCAGCCAAGGGAAAATAAGGATGTTTGGAATTAATAAACCGAATTTTCTGAGGCCAGAAAAATAGGTTGTGCACTGCCTCKTGGCTTCTCTCTCAGGTAGTTCTCAAGATAACTCACATGAATATTCAACCATTCCTGTCCGTGTGAAAAATGTGAAGTTCTTTGCAAAAAGAGCAATGTAATACTGGTCACACACTTGATTTATTTGATACAGGAGATGRTGAAAAGTCAACAGACATTAACAGGCTGGATCCCATCATCACCTGGAAAGATTTCCAGAAGACCATGCCCTGGGAGATTGTGGTGTTAGTCGGAGGAGGTTATGCCTTAGCAGCTGGATGCAAGGTACTGATGCAGATTTATTTTTTTTTTTCAGTCCTCCTTCCTAAAAATATTATCAGCTTGCTCTTTTATTCCTTTGCCTGCTCCCCAATTTAGATTTTGGATTTTTCCAGGTTTATACATAACCTAGCACACAGTTACTCCCTGCACTCAACGTATCTCTCACTGTTTATTAAACACTGCAGTGAAATCCAGCTTACTGAGCAAAAGGAAATACAAAAAATAGCATCGGCCCAAACTTTGTTTATTTGCTGGTGGGATTCTCTGATGCATACTGCCATGAGGAAAAGAATGTGCTTTACAAACACACCGAGTATTTAGTAATTCCTGTGCTTCTGTCCTTTCCCCAGACCTCTGGCCTCTCTACATGGATTGGACGTCAAATGCTCTCCCTGAGCAGCCTTCCCTACTGGGCTGTAACCCTGCTGGCTTGCATTTTGGTGTCCATGGTGACAGAATTTGTTAGTAATCCAGCAACCATAACCATCTTTCTGCCTATTTTATGCAGYATGGTGAGTTCAAACCRTGACATTTTTAGTCTGTTCTTTCCTGACAGGCTCGTGGGAATTTTTTCAGCATGTCAGGGTCTTGGCACTCTGTTCACATGAAACCCGGCCTCAGTTCCCAAGCTACTGTTCTGTAGCCTTAGAAGTAGGAAAAATAACAAGATTGGGCAGCCAAAAGCATATTTTAGCAGGAAGGAGTTTATAACACCTCTCAGAAAAAAAACGCACACAAAAAAATTTACTATAGAATCAAGGAGACAGGTGWATTTCACATAAAACTTGAGATGCTTTTGTCAATGTTATTTTAAAAGTGTTATTAGTTATTAGTCACCTGCTCCCTACTGGTAAGAAAAGACTGGAAAACTGTATTTTATTTCAGATTTTAAAGAGTTCAAAGGGGTGATCTGGTAAGTATTATGTTTTCCTTCATGGAAAGCAGAGATGTTTGTAAAGGGTGGAAAAAAAAATTAGGACATTATTGACAAAGGTGGAAGAAAGAGATATTAATTTCATTTTATATTGGAATAGCAGTTACAGAAGATGGTTTTATTTATTTTCTTTTATGTAATGTAAAGCTTTTCATACCAAGAATGCAGGTCATCAATCGTCTTTCCCTATTACAACAATTTTGTGGGATTGTCCCAAAGCATCTTGTGTGAACAGCTCTGAGCTAATATGAAGATGTGGTCAGATGAAAATAAGTAATTGTGTTTCTGTGGCTTGGGAGTTCAGATTTGCTTCTGCTCTCTACAGAAAGAGACTTTCCTAAAAAAAAAATATTTAGAGTAACAATCTACTTATAATGTGAATGCCACTTTAAGGCAGACTCTCCGTTCTGATTACAAAAGTTTCATGGAGACACTTCCCTCCCTAAATGGTAATGGTTGCTTTGTTTACCCTTCCCCCCTTTCCCTATGACATAAAACCAGGCCAAAGCAATGAAAATGCAAATGAAAATGCAAAATTTTATCACCACAGAGGACAGCAGCGGAAGAACCCTTCTTCAGCCCACTGTAAAGAACATCCCATCATCTCTGCCTTCTCACCATGGAAGTTTGGGTCATGAACAGTTGGTTCTCTCAACCCATTTTCAGGAGGACACCACATGATGGTCCCAGCACATTCAGCAGCTGGAAGAAACAAGTTGTTCACATTAACCTGGTGTGACTTCTCTTGGATGGAGACTGGGACAGCAGCCAGTGCTAAAATCCAGCAGACACAACTCAGAATGACACAGAGAGCAAGGGGGAGAAAGAGAAAATGTGGCCCAACAGTAGCACACTCTACCCTCCCTCAGTGTGAAATGTTTCAGGAGAGAGCACGAGCAGCTCATAATTATGACATTGCTCTAAAAATCCCCAACCAGCCAAAAAACACTTCCATGCTGAAGTTTATAAATTAGGCAGATGAGATTCACAGAAAACAGTGAATACTAATTGTCAGCAGTGACTTTTATTGATTAGATGAAAAACCTGTCCCTCTCTTTTTCCAGTCAGAAACMCTGCTCATCAACCCTCTGTACACCCTGATTCCTGTCACCATGTGCATCTCCTTTGCGGTGATGCTGCCGGTGGGTAACCCTCCCAACGCCATCGTCTTCAGTTATGGGCACTGCCAGATTAAAGATATGGTGAGTCCTGGGACTGGGTTATCCACACATCCTTCATGCAATTTCAACACCCCCAATCCCAGCAGCCAATMAGAGTAAGGATTATTTTGGAGCAATAATAATGATTATGTTGGTGCTAATATTAAATATTGATGTCTGCTTTGCTGTTACATAATAGAGCTGTCAGSTTAAGAACAAGCCAAAATCTGCTGTGGGACACACACATTTCTTTATTTTTTAAATGAATGATCTAAAGAKCTTCAGGAGTATGCAATTCTTTGCATTGACCTGTTAAGAGAAGCRTAAGAGAGCACGAGATATTCGATTTATCACACAGCTCTGCAGTAATTCATGTCATCCTGTGTGTGTGGTTTAACTGTGGTTTAACTCCCCATTCTGATGGTCTGATTGAGAAGTTTGAGTGAAAAACTGAGCAGTTCAAAATAAATTGCATCACCTCTAACCATCCCTCCTGAATATTCCCACTACATATACCCTTTCATCACTGTGCTTTCTTTTGCTCTAGAAATCACTATGTATAAATTACCACACTATATGTAAATCATTGTAGGTCCTACTGCTTTTTTTTTAATCTATGTAAATTGATTTTGATCAAGTTGCTCTGATGCATTTTGCTTTTACAGGTGAAATCTGGCCTGGGTGTAAATCTCATTGGCCTGGCTGTTGTCATGGTGGCCATCAACACCTGGGGAATTCGACTCTTCCAGCTGAACACCTTTCCAGAATGGGCAGCAGTCAGCAACATCACAAGGCAAACGTAATCTTCAATGGGGAAAAACAAAAAAAAAAAAAAAAAAAAAAAAAAAAAAAAAAAAAAAAAAAAAAAAAAAAAAAAAAAAAAAAAAGAAGCAAAAGTGCAAGACCAAAGCAAGTCAGGACAAAATATTGAACCTACATTTCACACACGAAAGAAAGAAGGAAACTTGTGTATACAGAGAACCAGGATCCATTGAAAACCATGATGAAAACACACAGGGAGCTCTTCTGCAGCAGCTTTTCAGTTCTGAAAATCAGCATGGGTTAAAAGCTTTGCTCTATTGTTGTTGTCTCTGGGATACCATAACTCAGAAMAAATCAACTCCTCCAAATTATCTGCTTAGAGCTTCTTCCTGTCTTAGAATAATTGTGTAGGACTTCTATGTAGGACTCTAGAGGCAGAAGAAAAGCACACATACACTGGTGCCCTAAGCAGCAGCAGAGTCAGTCCTACCATTGAATGTAGGGTGAGCCTTATTCTCAAATCCAGAAGAGTTTTATAAGCCTATTTCTTTTGAAGGCAAACTATTCTTCTTCTTTTGAGGTGACTCATCACCACCTTTTTTTGGTTGCAAAAACCACTTTTCCACCTAACCCAGATGAGCTGGACAGAAATCCAGCTACCACCTACAGCACTTCAAAGGGATAGCAGAAACTTCCAGAGAGAAGTTTTTTTGGAAGGAGAATGTGTATTTTTTTTCCCTCCACAGCACTGGGATCAATTTCCAATATTGCAATACTCACATTCTCTGCTTTGGAAGGAAGTGTTTCAGGAACAGAAAGGTTTTGTTTTTTATCAATGCTGCAGTGTGAGTTGTTTCAGCAGGGGAAGCTGTGAGCAGCAAAACCTTAGCACCAACACCCCCACTGCTCTCCTCTCTCTYTGGCTGCTGTTTAGTTGTGCACCCSTGATTCCCCTGACAGAGAAGGCACAGTCCCATCCCTGATGGCACCCAGTGCTGCTCCATAAGAAGGGAGAGGGCTGAAGTGGAGTRGTGCTGGTCTATCCCCCCACCCCGWGCATTCACTTGAACATCACACTCCCTGCTCTCTAGCAGCCCAGAGAACAGGAGACCCAAATGTAGGAAGCTGTGACACAGAGTAGATTACTCCCAAGCCAAAAGGCCTCTCTCTTTATCTCTCATCAGCAAAGTGAATGCCCTGCTTTCCTGTCTGGATCTCTGTGACACTTCTGGTAAATCTTCTCATGTATTATGTCCTGGTTTTAATAATTTTTAATAATTTCTTTCATGTCAATACATTGAAGCTGTATATTAGGATGATTGGATAACATGTAATCATACTCTTCAGACATACACTTTAATGAATTTTTATGCTTTCCACTTTTAATCCAGGCTCTCTAKTTGATAGTGTGGCTGTTTATTCTGCAAAAATAAAGTGTCAATAAAATAAATTATTCACTACTGCACATTCTGGTGCTCCATGAGAATACAAATTGGATATATTTCACCCACAACCCACTAAACCCTTAGAGAAGCAGCTTTGAGACAGCAGGAGGTGTTGGTTTACTGCTTCTGTCAAAACAGAGGGATCCCACAGAATTCTCTTGGAAATAAACACACAATAAAAGGTCATAGGCTGGCAGAGGGGGAGAAATACGGGAAAAACACAAAAGCATGTCTTAACCCTTGCACCAAAAGCAGGAAGCAGCATCCTTTAGCAAACCAATTGTTATTCCTGTAAATTTCATTTTGAACAGCAAAGTGTTCCTGTGCATCAGTGGCTGAAAGCATCACCATGCCCCTCTAACGCCTCAGAGACCTCAGACTCCCTTTCTTACCCCTTCTCTCACCTCCCCAGTTCCTGTGCTCCCCCTGTCCGGAGCCAGCAGAGCTCAGAGCAGGCTCTGCCTCCCACATCCTCCACACCCCTCCAGCTGCCCTCTCTGGGGGTCTTCCTGCTCCCCAGCAAGAGGCTGCTGCTGACACGGACCCAAAATTGTGCTCAAAGCTCAGGCACCCTGGCCTGAGTGGACTCAGGCAAACAATTTCTCCAACACACCATTTCTGCTGCTGTGGTGCTCTTGGCACATTTCCATGTCCACAGAAGCTGGCACTTGTCACTGGAATGTCCCACCAGGCAGTTGCAGGAAGGCAGTGTGCTCTGCTGGCCTTTTCTTCACATAGATCACTCGGTGCATGCTCCTTCAGCACCAGATCCTGCCCTTCTTTTTTTTTTTTATTTTCTTATTTTAAATTATAATAAATGGCAAGTGGACAAAGAAGTGGGAAATTTTCACTAGTAATTTATAGCATACTGTAATATATATATATTATAATATATATAGTATATAAGCATACTCAACTTCAGATTTGTATAGTATAGCATACTCAACTTCAGATTTATCTCTACTAACAACCAAGGCAGAAGTATTTTCTTCATAGGGCAAATAAGCCTGGTTTCAAATTAAGTGATTTCCAGAGGTTTTCAAGATTCAGCACATACATCAAGCCCTAGAAACAAAATTCCGCTTTCAGCCCAGAATTTAAGATTTCTACCCATACAGTAGAACTGCTTAATCAGTAGCAGTATACTATTTTATCTTACATTTCTATATTACATTTTACTAGAATCCTATTAAGGCTACATTTTTTTTTCATGTATCTGATATAAAACCTGAACAATTTAACTGACATAAATTGAGATGATATTGAGCAATTACTCACTCTGTAGCTGATAGAGCAACGCTTTATTTCTCAGGCAAAAAAGCAGAGCATGATAGCTGTACTTAATACCTGTACCTAGCCATTCAACTCTCTCTGGTTTGCAGAAAATTTGAATAGAATTTAAAACTAGCCCTTTTACTTTTTTTTTCTGATTTTTTTTATTGGTATCTCACTCATTAGGTTGCATCTTTGGGCCCAAAAAGTGCAGTGGTCAGAGAAAGGCTCAAATCTGTGGAATTACTCTGTTGCAGAATCCATGTTTCTTCATAGAAAACCAACAGCATGTTCCACTTCCAGCATTTGGGCTCATAGAATAGGAAAGTTACTGAGTAGTTCTGGTTTGAGTCCGTGCTTTACAGGATTGGGGTGGTTTTTTTCCACATGTATTAAAGGCTAAAGCCAGAATTGACTCTGTCAGGATCATCTATTTGGAGGGCTTATAAACTTATAAAATTTATTTTTCAGCAGTAAAATTGATCATCTGTGATTAATGTATGTTTCAGGCGAAAAAGCAAATAACCTGCAAGGTTATTTTATTTCAGCACAAATTCAATAAAAATGACCTTAACTTGGGAATTTGTAAAAATAATGTTAACACGTACCACCAAGAATTCTAACAAACAAAACTACATATCTCTTTTTTGTCCCTCTGAGGCAAAAAATGAAAAGAACTGTACACGAGACTTTTCCTCTGGATTTTAGCAGCAACTTACACACTTACACCATCACTTCCTAATGTTCAAAATAATTCTGCATCCCATACAGAATAATTATATTTTTACATTTGAATATCAATGCACAATCTTATTTCTGCAAATACAGATACAATCCTGGCTTATGAAATCAACACGTTATTAATTCTAAAAATTCAATTTCTTCTTTTGCAATGTTTCAGTTTTCATGTGGATGGAGCACACATCATGAGATGGGTTTGTGGTTCTGAGATGTAAAACCACTGAGCATTCATGCTGGTGAAGTTCTGTGAGGTACATCCACCAATTTTATTTCAGTTCTGGKGCCTAGTAGGCTAATAATTAGCTCTGCTATCTGGTTTATATTTTGGTTTATTTTCAGTATTATCCAAATATTTTGGTTTATTTCTAGTATTAACCCTTTACTGTGTTCAATGAAAGAAGAGCCTTAGGACAGCATTTTCCAAAACAGGACAATACTCTCAATCCACAGTAAATATTTTAGAAGTTAATAGCTTGCATATTCCTTTCCTACAGTTTTGCCTTGAACCTGCATCTCCCAGGATATGTCTCGAAAGAATCAATAAAAGAACACAACTGTTTTTAGCAAAGGAAGAATCACTGCATATTTTAGCTGGCAATCTGCCCACATAGGCATTTAAACAGAAAAAATTCACAGAGCCCCATGCTAAGTGGGAAATTTGCTCCTAGGTATCTTCAAGGGGCATCCATCCTTTGCGTCCTGCTATGACATCAGTGCATCCAAAGCACACTKGAGTCCCCAGATGCAAGACCTGCATCAAGCAGTCATTATCTGTGCTCACCCTCTGCCCTCTGAAAGGTAATGTTTAGTTACCTAGGATAACCTCAGACTAGGTAAAATGTGTTAGACAGCAGTTRCAAAGTCCACACCAGCTGTGTTTTAATGTTATCCAGATTCACAGCTYACTCTGTGGGAGGAAAAAACACAGCTTGAGCTAAAATGGAAAGTGTTGCAAACAGTGTGAAACACTTCAGAAATCCTGTCTTTAATATTAATGAGCATATATTGTTTCCACAGCATTACAGCTGCAGTTTGTTCACTTCTTAATATGGTATGAAAAAAAAAAACCAAACAAACTATAACACCTGTTTGGAATGCTTAGCTGAAAAAGTCAGCTCCAAATTACACTTTTAAAGTGGCCTGTTTGGCAACAGGGATTTTGAATATTATTTCACTTCTCATCCCCACGTAAAGAAAGGGAAGAACATGAAGTATGTTTGAGGAAAGAAATAATCCAATTTTAGACACAAATATAAATTTTACATGGCGAGCAAAGAAGTATGAATGGGGTAGAGCCAACATTTCATCATATCATAATTTCATCATATTCATGAAAGCATCAAAACAGCTGTGCAGTGCTATCACTCTATGAAAAAGTTCCGGCATGGAAGAAAATTGGAAGAGTATGAAAGGTAACAGAAAGCTCTCTCAAGAAGCAGAATGTACAGTCCCAATTCAGTAAAAGCTAAACATAATTGTTACCATCACATCCTGGGTAACTTCCACATATGCTGCTACCACAAGGTTTCTGATAATTGATGTTAGGTGGTGCAACCACTTCCCCCTSTTGGAGTTTCTTGGAGTGTTTACTKTGGAGAAGATYGGCTGCATCACTAWTAAGACTCTCTGACTTGAGCTGGCTTTTAAAATTGACCCAACAGACATTTGCAAAGACTAAAAGCTTTTATGTCAGCTATACATTTCAGGGCAGAGGTAAAAGGAAGGATTTAAAATTACAGGTGAAACATTCCTTAAATATATTTATATTCCTTAAGAAGGAGAATCTTTGTATGAGGAATATTTTCCTCTGTTTCAGGAATGCATTGTGAAAGAACTGTCRCCATCAAACTTTGGCAAAGGATGCAAGAATTTGGTTTACAGCATTCTGTAAATAAGTCTTTACTGATCCAGTGAGAATTCCTGAACTAGGAGTCCACTCAGATGTATCCAAATTAAAGGCTTTGGGGTAGAGGGTGAAAATTACCATGGGTACATAGCGAGTTCTGCACTTTAAAGCTTTGATGCTATGTTTATATCAAAAAGTGCAGTTCACYGACAAAGCAAGACAATTAGTGCCCAAAGCTTGGGCTCTTTTTCTTCTGAGTGTCACCCGTCCTGTCTAAATGGACTAAACACCCATCAGAGATCAAAGCACATCTTCTGATTTGGCCTCTTCTAAGACAAACACAGACCWTGTGCTCACGGTTTTCATATGATGAGAATGAAAACATGGTAAAAGGACAAACCACTTTGAAGGCAYAGTCCTTATCCTAATTAAAACATTAATGGAGAGGCACTCTAGGTATGCTTTAATCTAGAGCCTGAATAAATAGTTYGTTCACTGTGCTTGTCTGTAGCAGTCCATCAGCAGGCATTCCCAATAAAAGCAAAAAACATCTTTCTGGCACTTTTTCTTTGTCCTTCATGTCCTGCAAAAGACTGTCAAGGGGACTCTATCATTTAAGATATATTACAGAGTTGATAGAACTTCTCTATTTTAAGGGAAAAAATATTTGATAGATTCTTGAATTAATAAAATTTACACCTAATCAAAACACTGCAACTTTTTTTTTCAGAATTCACAACAGGATTTTTGCAAAATTATGGCTTCAAACAGAAGACGAGTTCTACAATAGAATGTGTTTTTTTTCACACACCAGGGTTTTTAATGGTTGCTTTATTTGTTTTSCTTGTGTGTGTGGCTTTTGCCACTTTGTCTCACTTGGACCCTTGTGATTCTCTCTCCCAYCCCCCTGGGAGCAGTAAGCCAGYAGCTGTGTGGGGCTGAGTTGCTGGCTGGGGTTAAACCGTAACAGCATTTTCCAGCTGCTGGGAATAGGCTGGAATGTAGGATCTGCAGCCTTGTATCCACCACAGGGCCTAATGCAGACCAGATCTCAACAGCATGTGGGGCACAGACTGCCAGAGCCTGGTACCAACTCTCAAGGTGTGCTTGTTTTCCTTTACATGAATGAACTTTCCCATCTCCAAGAATGGAACGCACACCTTAAGGACACTGAAATACCGTTGCTCACAACAAATGACAAGAAACCCTGAGAGTTACTTCTTGATGCATTTAATTTCTTTTGTGCTGTTCTAAGAGCTAGGGTATTATCAAGTGTGAGGTACRCATAGTAACAGGACCAAAAGGACTCCAGTTGGATCAGGTAAAAACGGGTTACAAAATATTAGGAAAAGAAATACTGAAAAATACAAACAACCTTATCCAGTCACCCATCAGCTGCAAATCCAAACTGTGAAACCCTTGAAAATCAGGCCCAGGAAAAGTTCACAGCCGCTCTTTCAAAAGAAGGATATTCCAGTTCCAGGAGACTAAGAGTGGAGGAACCTCCCATGCCAACCCTCTACTTGACCTTTGCTGCCTGAAAGGTAAATTKTATCCTTGGTGCACACACAGAGTTGACCTGGGGAACATTGCTCTTTCAGGACTTGTCGTTAGGAGGTTTCTTCTTGGCTTCCACATCCTTCTTAAAATCTTCCAGCTTCTTGGCAATGTTAGGAATCTTTAAAGACAAAACAAAACAAATCAAAACCCACAAAAATYAACAAAAAATTGTGGGCTACATGAGTCTCATCAGAAAAAACAATACCATACATACAGCAAGAAATTCTATAAAGTTTAAACTGGTTTATAAAAGRTATTTCCAGTATCTGTTACCTCGCATAGAGGTTAAAATCTATGCAGCATCAAGGAAACAGCAGATGAAATCACCTCACATGAGGTTTCAGGAAATATTTTGATTATTAAGGCTAGAAGTCAGCCAGTGGTGATGGGAACAGGAGGAAGGAAAAAAAGATCACTTTACAGGAAATTTAGTATGACCAGTCTGGCTTCCTCCCTGAAACAAGACAAACTGCCAAGATTAAACAGATTTAGACAGTGATGCACAGGCTTTTGAAGGGGAAATTAGATTGCACTAGAAATGGTCAYAACCCCAGAGAAAAGAGATGTTCAAGAGCATCAAACACGTTCTCAAGAAATTTATTAAGAGATATTTCTCCTGTTTCATGTTGTGGGGAAAAAAACCCTCACTGGGGAATTCTAAAGCATTGCAAATGGGCAACATTTTGCAGATTCACACTTGAACAAAAATTCAATTTACCGCTTSTGAGCTTCAAAACTTCAGCTTTCTCTGGCAAATAAAGAATTTGATAAAATAACCCAACAGTAAATTTTAGTAATTTGAAAGAAGGAAGAAAAGCTGAAGCTCTTAACGGCAAAGAAAAGATCATGATTAGCTAAAACTGAGAAGTGATAATACATGATTTTGCAACTAATTAAAATTAAATTAAAGCAAATTTTCCACTGGTAACTGTGAAAAAAAAAAAAACAACCATGGGTTTTTACTTTATATGTAACATGACCACAGAGCAGAAGTTAATCCAAATAGAATGCAGTTCTCTTATTGAATGGTCTGAGGCTCTCAGTACTGGTAAAATAAGTTCATCTCACCTTCCTTTTCATAATTTAGCTTGTTTGAGAAAACGAAATTAAGAGTCCAGCCGGTAACACACCTGACATTTAAATTAAACCAAGAGAACTCCACCACTGTCAGCAGAACCCTCCACATATTTATAACTAATTACATTGTGTGTATAGCTGCAGAATTAGGACTTCATTATGACAAGCTTATATCAAATGTCATCTAAAACCAATCATCTTCAATACCAGTGATAAAATTTCCATTTTCATCCTGCAAGTCAGCGTTGAATTCCTGCAAATCAAAAGCCTGAGCCTCCCTCTTGTGGCAATACTTTATCAGTGCTGCCAGAAAAGCACTACAACAATGCTTGTGATACATATTGATACATCCAAATACAATCTTCTGACTACATTTTTGTAACACTGTAAAACGTACATTGGGCAGAAACACCAGCTTTCATTTCTACTRTTACTGGAGTAATTGACAGGAAACCACAAAAGTTTGTGCACAAAGTGCAGAATGTAAGATTTTTTTTTAACAAGTTTACTTCAATACTGAAGATGAGAGGAAAGCAAAACATAAATGTCATCAGAGCCTCAACAATTTTTTTTAATTAGGCAAATACAGATTGCATAAGAATTTTAAAAAATGTACACGTTAAATGTTATTAACTCCTCTAGCCAATGGCACTGCTCTTACAAGGGATCCTGCTGACTCTGCAGAAATTCAAAGCATGTTTTGAGCACTCAGCTTGAAATCTTTTTCTGCCCTCTCACACAGAAAACTCTTAACAGAGAACTGAGAAAAGAAAATCCCCTTTCTTTTCACACTGCAAAAAGACAGAAACAAAGATTGCAGGTCAATATACTTTTTGAAGCAGGAGAAAGCATTGAATTTTCAAAAAAAGCTGGCAAAATTTATTTTCATTATTGGTCCAGAAGACAGACATTTCACATGCTCTGAGGATCTTTATTATTTAAACATTTATATTGAGTGGAGAACACTGTATGAAAACAGACTATCCAAGGCAGGAAACCAGTATTATAGCGTTGGTAAAATCCACATGCAATTGATAAACCTTTTGTGTTTCTCATGTCTTAGCCTGTAGATGCCTAGGCTCCAGAAGTTTAGGCTTTAAGCATTACCACAGAGAAGCAGATATTTTGGTGCTTCGGTTCCATCTTTTTATTTTTTTTTTGGCTATTAAGTTTGAAAAGACCTCCAAGATCAGAGTCCAACCTTTGACCAATCACCACCCTGTCAACCAGACCACAGCCTTAAGTGCTACATCCAGTCAGTCACTCCTTGAAAACCTCCAAGGATGGTGAYTCCACAACTTCACTGTGCAGCACTTCCAATGCCTGACCACTATTTCAAGGAGGTAATTCTTCCTGAAAAAGTGTGAGTTTTCCTGTAACTAAAGTCAGCAAGATTTGCATTCTGTTTAAATAATATAAACCAAAATTAAGACTGATTAAATTCTACTTGAGGGAAAATAGCCATATATTTTCCGTTCAGAATAGGTTTTACCTCTGAGAACATCAGGATACTCACATCATAGTTCTGAGCCAGATACATCCCAACCACGTTGCCAAGAGTAAAACCAACCTAAAACGTGAAGAAGAGAAGAGTTAATATCCTTCCATCAAAAGCATATTGGTAAAAATAAAAATAAAAAAAAAAAAAAGGAATATTATATGTTATTTAAATAGTTTCAACTCCACTTCTGTTTAATTTCCCATCCTTTATCCAGAGAGGTGCAATTTTACTGATCTTCCTCACCAAGAACACCTTGCCCTCATTTCCAAAATACCACACAGGTTAATTTTTTCAATACACATTCCCAAGATCAAGCTATGTTCATTCTCGTAAGGTTYTCTACACACCCACAAAGGCAGCAATTCCCATAAAAATGAGGGAGATAGCAGAAGGGACCTACACATCACAGAGTTCCTGGTCCATGCTGGGAAAACCTAAAGCAACTCCCCACTAAAACAATGCTCTGTGGTGGAAATATGTCTTAGTATGAGGCAAAAAAAAACCTTCACAAGTCTGAAAGTCAGAACAGAGGCTCTGACTGCACAAAGATTGTAGTCTCAAGAAGTTTAAGGATCGGTGAATTTAAACCTTTGTAAACCTGGTTCTGCTGTTCTGCAGCAACAGCTGTGCATCTCCCAGACAGACCCTTCTAAGCCCAAGAGATCAGTTCTCAGCCAAATCCGCTCTGRTCTAGGGGCCCCTCCAAGGCAAGAAAGTACAGCTGGTTGGAAGTTGGGCACAACTCCTTTTGACAACTTGTAGTTGATGAAGGGTGCCCATAAAAACACACTCTGGCAGTGGAGGAAGCTCAAAACAGAAGCACAGTTTCTGGCCCAGACCCTGTCTGCCAGCTGAAGAAAATCCCCAAGCRTAAGAACCCTTCTGGTGTGAAAGAAATTCCTTTCTTCAAACACAGCTGATGGGATTTTCATTCAGCAACTTCCCAATATGCCACATTTTCTTTTTATTGTTRCATTTCAAAAGAAGTATTCACTATACTATGAAAGCTCATTTCACGATTCTGAWAAGGGAGACTACTAATATTGTGCTTTCGTTCATTGTTAATAGACAAATCACTCTTTGTGACAGCTGAGGCCAGTTCTATTTAAGAAAATTGTTATTGCCCATAGTCACTGTTGTCAAAATAAGACTATTTTAAGAAAAATAAAACCACTGTCCACAAAACCACTTRGCCATCATGTACTGACCAAACATCTTTTCCAGGCCCAAAGGAGCACAGAGCACAGTTCATCTTTTCTATGATTCAGACTCCATAAGCAGCACTGGTGAAAATCCATCTATAGAAAACTAAAACTGTCTGAGAGCCAGCTGAACTCTGATTGCAAGCTATTACCTTCTTAAACAGATTTTTGGTGTTACTCCTTGTTTATTATCACTTTTTAGAGAGCTCAGCTTAAAAAAATTTAAGAATAAGTAGAGTTTGTGCGTATTGCACTTATCATATGCTCATAGTTTCAATTATCAGCTAAAGAGGTACTCTGGGATATAATAAMTATTGCACTGATGCAAACCAGGCCTGTGACTCCTCTTCATGCAGAGCATCACTCTACCAGAGGAGAGTTTCCTGTACCTTTATGCAGTGTCAGGGAAGGCACTTGAAAACATAAACCAGGTCCTTGTTTATTAGCAATTTTCTAGGCTTTTACCCTGGAATCAATATATGTCATATTCTGTTGTGAGATAACCCTTACTCAGTACGAACAGTACTGAGATCACTACTCCCTTTAAATGTTCTCCTTTATGGAAAGTCCAGCACTGCATCCATCTAGTCACATTTACTTTTAGAGCTGACAATTCGAGCAGTGGGGAAAGAAAATCACTACTAAGACTTCAATTATATGGAAAGCAAAACACACAGACAATGAAAATGTGTATATTGACTAAAAACAACAGGKCTCATGAGAGTTCAGGGTCTTCCAATTTCCACACAGCATTTCTAGATGCATTGTAAGCAAACACTTAATGCTTAACTCTGGATTGCAAGAACACAAGGTTTGTGAGATTATTCCTTTATCTCTCTGTTACAGCCTTAAGCAGGGAGAGCAAGAGTCAAACACCCAATCTACTCCTAAGCAGGGAAGAAACACAGAACTAGTATATCTTCTTTCTAACTTTCATGCACTAAGGACAAGTCACAAGATATTTTTATCTAGCAACAAAATTAGCAGCAAGCAATGGAGTTGACAAATACAGAAACTTTGACAGATGCTAACCATATTTAGCCTTACTGAAGGTTTTCATTGGAGTGGAGAGGGGATTATAAACAGCTACAGAAAGGGCTGAGGCTTTCATATTTGCTATTATGAAGCTGGGATAAGAAACAGGCCTCATTTATTTATTACATAAAAACAGGCAAGACTCTCTCAACTTACAATAGGCAATCTCTTCTTGCTTTGTATCAACACCTGCTCTGAAACTCATTAGCCAGCTAATTTATCTTCCCCCACCAAAAAAAAAAAAAAAAAAAAAAAGAAGGCTAATATTCAGTCTAATAATTCTGCTATATTTAGGGGGTTTTAATGAAAGGCAGTACTTAAACATGATCCCTTGCCTTCATTTCTGCGTATAAAAAATCGACATGTCTAGCGATAGATTTGTACCGAGTGCTCAAAATGGCAAAGGCTGATGCCCCTGCTCTCACCAAAGGAGGGAGGTATTTATGCTTACACAAACAAATTCGAGCAACAATGGCAGCATCACCGCGAGCAAGCAGAATCTCCACGGCAAATYAGAAGCACGACTTGGACGAAAAACAAGCCATTTTCAGAGCAGMTCTAAGGCATCGTTCTGCGGCAACAAGGGTGGGAAGGGCCGGCAGAAGGGGATGGTGCCGTGCCGGGGAGCCAAGACTTAGCGCAGCTGACAGAGGATGCGGGATGGCCGGACTGGGGGCCGCGGGGTGGCCGGACTGGGGGTCGCGGGGTGGCCAGACTGGGGGCCGCGGGGTGGCCGCACTCGGGGTCGCGGGTGGCCGGACTGGGGAGCGGGGTGGCCGGACTGGGGAGCGGGGTGGCCGGACACCGGGGAGCGGGGTGGCCGGACACCGGGCCGTAGGGTGGCCGGACACCGGGCCGCGACAGGGCCGCACACCGGGCCGCGACAGGGCCGCACCCCGCGCCCTTCTTCCCTCGGCCGGGCAGCCGTGCCATGGCGGCGGCGCCGCGCCCCGGAGCCTTACCAAGAATTGCAGCATGGTGCCCGCTGCCCGCGCTGCCGCCCCGCCCGAGCGCCGGGGAAGTCAGGCGGGTGGCGGCTGCTCCCCTTCCGGGCCCGCCCTCGCCGCCATGGCCGGGGAAGGAAGAGCCGCGCCCCCGGGCCCGCCCCGCCGCGCTCCGCCCTGAGGGGGATCGGGGG